TCTAGCTCTCTCTGCCCTTCCCTTCCCTTCCCTTCCCCACATTGTATTAGTTTAGATAGTAAACTCCTTTTGAAAAGATTCTAGGCAATCGCAGCTCCACTCCTGACTCACTAGACTTTTCCACCTCCTTACCTGCAGCCTTTTCACCCTGGAGATGCCTCTAGCCCCAGGCACCCCCTTTCCCTCTCCTCTGATGATCCTTGAGTTCTTGCTCCAGATCACCCATTTCATGAAGTGTTCAGGCCACCATGCTCCTTTGTCTCCTGACTCGACTCCCAGTTCCTAGCATGTGCTACTGCCTATTGTAGGTCCTTATTAAACTTATGTGGAATTGAATGTTGAGTTACAAAAATGGTAATTTCAGTTATAATCTGAAAATTTCTCCCAAGAACAAAGACCCATCATTTTAAACACTAGTATTTTGGGGTGATGATCTATGGTTGTGAGTTATGGTACTTCACAGTCCTCAAAGAACTGAAACCTGATGGGATAGAAAGGCACAGATATGTGTGTGACTTGGCTAAATGAGGAATTATGCAGGAAGGGCTTTGTCATGAGTGTCATTAGAGGAATGCCAAGGCTGGAGGAAAGATAAACCTATAAGGTAGCCATATCCCCAAGAACTCAATGTCTTCACCATCTATTTTCTTCTTTAACATGGCAACATTAGATAAGGGGAGAATCAAGGTTATTTCTGTTTATAGATCTAAACTTCTTAGTACGGAAACAATGAATATACCCCCAAATCATTTAGGTTATATAACTCTTTCTAGAATAGGGTTGGGGACCTCTTTAGTTCTGAATAGTGGAGTTATCCAGGGACAAACCAAAGGCAAAGAACCAGAAAGATGATGAGGGACAGAGTGAGGAGAGAGTTGTGTAATGTGGCAGAGGAGTAGAAGGCCCCAAACAATTGTCTCAATATCATCCCATAGGGTAGTTTGACAGTTAGGTATTTCTTAGCTACTTGATCCAAGAAGTAGGCTTCTAAGTTCTTGGTTAAGGAATCATTTTTGAGTTCTTTGAATGTCATTTGTTCTGTGTGATGGAGTTCCCCGTTATCAGGAGGTCAAGGCAGTGGCTTGTCTGATTTTTAATTATCCATTTTATAGTTAAGTCACTGGAAAAGAGTGGGTAATGGGTAATGAAATGTAATGGTTAGAATGTTTATGATGCATTGCAGTTTAATAAGTGGAAGCAAAGGAACAAATTTTGAGGAAGCATCAATACTAGTGGAAGTAGTAGATGTATTTTTTTTAATCTTAAGGAAAATTTTGGTGAATATTTAATATTTATGTGTGGGAGATATTTTCTTTGAGTTTTATGCTTGTATGTATGATGCTGGTTGCTATTGTTGAAGATAAATAATGATCATTGTAATATCTATCTGTTCTCTGACCTTTTTAATTCTCTCATCTGTAAAATGGGCATAGTTTCCATTCCCTATCTTTCAGGATTGTTCTGAGGAAAATCCCTTATATAAACCTTAATGTGTTTTATAAATGAGATTATGAATTATAAATTTGTGATATATAATCTTCTATTTAATTTTGCTCTTAACTTTTAAATCAGATGTAAAGACTTCTTTGCACAATAAAATCTTTATGTCACTAGAGAGGCAAAGGGGGACAACTTTGGAGTTAGTAAGACCTCCATTAGTTCAAATCCTGCCCCTGACACCTAGCTATGTAACCATGGGTAAATGACTTAATTATATGGTATTCCATGCCCCGTCAGGCAAAACTCAACATTAGATGTGTTTTTTTAAATTGCTGCCTTTTGCTTTTAATATCACTGTCCTTTCTAAATAGGAGCCTTTTCAGCTTCTAACCCCAGCAAGCCTTCTCTTGTGTGAACTATTTAAAAATAAAAAAAAAAAGTTCAGCAAAAGCAACAAGGATTGAGTCTGACTGTGTATGCAACATTTCAGTCATAGTTTCCTATGATATACATTTTCTTAAATCTTATCTGAGGTCATAATGCAGTTTTTTTGGTTCTTTCTCTTTTTATTCATATTGTTTTAGCTGTGTAGTTCTGTTTATTTAATTCTTTATCAGTTATGAATTGTTAGTTACAGTATTTAGTTGCTGATTGGCATCAATGGTGGGAATTTTAATGCTACCAGCTCCCTGTGTCAATAAAATCATTGATCTAGACCTCCAAAAATGAAGTCACCAAAGTCTCCACCTAGACAGTCCACTCTTAGGCCTTCTTAGTAGTCATTTTATTGTATTGTAAAATGAGAGACATTACTTTTGGGACAGAGTATCATGGTGGCTGTAGATGGTTATTTGGCTTGTTGGACTTTAGAAGGGCTTTGCCCTTGTGTGAGAGAGAAAAATGTAATGTTAATAGGGCATAAGAATCAGCCACCACAGACCTTTTCTCCACGCCCATTGTATTCATCTGTTTTTTCATCTTGTGACTTTCCAATAGCTGAGTAGCTATGGAAAGATTGCTTTACTGAGCCTGCTACTCTTGTCTTGTTGAAAGAAGACTGATGCTATAAGCCAGGTAAGCTGTATTGAATTGGGTAGAGTTTGGAGAGACTGGAGAAGGAAGAGTGTTTTTTCCAAAATATTCATACCTTTCCAAGAAGTATGCAGAATCAAAAATACCTTTACTCCTATATTATTTAGTAGTGATGGTGATAATGATACTAATAGCAGCTCACATTTATAATGTTTTACATGCTATCTCATCTGATCTTTATAACAACCCTGTGAGGTAGGTGCGATTATTATCCTCATCTTACCTTTAAGAAAATTCAGAGAATTTTCAGAGAAGTGACATGGTCATGGGCACATTGCTCTGTTTAGGTCAGGTTCTTAGAAAATGTGTAATTAGCAAACAGATTGGAATCAATAAGATCTGAGTACAGAAGCATCAGCTCTGCCATGTATCATCTGCCATATGTATGACTTTGAGTAAGCATTGGTTAGATGAGAGGACTGAACTAGGTAATAATAATAGCTTATCAGAAGATCCATGTGAGCAATCATAGGTTGAACAAATAGAATTATCTTCATTTTACAGTTGAGGAAACTGAGTAATTTGCCCAAGACTCATAGATTTAGAGCTAGAGTCCAACCCTCCTTCTTTTACACATGAGAAAATAGGCTGAGAGTGGTGACTTGCCCAGGATCACATAACCAGCATGTGTTTAAGGCATAAATTTTTTGGTCTTAGGATCTCTTTACACTCTTAAGTTATTGAGGACCCCAAAAAACTTTTGCATATGTGGGTTACATTTATCTATATTTACCATATTAGAAATTAAAACTGAGAATGTTAAAATACTCTCAGTTTTTCAAAATACTAATCCATTAAAAATAATACTAAACCAATTATATATTAGCAAAAATAGCATTCTAATGAAAAGTAATTATATTTTTCAAGACAATAAAAAGTTGGAAAAGTGGCATTGTTTTATGTATCTCTTTTGTAAATCTTTTTGATGTCTGACTTAATAGAAGACAGCCAGATTCTCATATCTGCTTCTATGTTCCATTTTGTTTGTTTTTGCTGAAGTGTATCAAGAGAATTTGGCCCCATGTAAATATATAGTTGGAAAAGAGAGTATTTTAATAAGCAAATGATATCTCAGTTTTTAGTTAGTTTTGATCTTGATGGCCCCCTGAAAGGAGCATCCAAGGACCATATTTTGAGAACTGACGGTCTCTAAGGCAAGATTCAAACTTGGATCTTCTGACTTCTAGATCAGTGCTCTCCACGATGTCGGCATGGTGTCACTGAGCTGCCTCATGGTTAGGAAGTTCTAGTGCTTGGAATAGATGATATTTAAGGTTGTGCTCTCTAGCTTTCTGTGATTTAAATATTTGAGGAATATTTGGTCTGTCTCTGGTACATTGTTTGAATTAACAGAAACGACTAGGGAGGCAAGACTAACACCATGACACAAGACAGTGAATAACAGGGATGGAGACTAGACCCAAGATTTTACAGGTGCAGGGAATCCCTTTGATGAGGAGCTTCCTCTATCAAATTTCTTTAGAGCACTAAGAGTTTAATTGACTATCCAGAGTCACACAGCCAATATGTGTCAGGCAGCCCTTAAACCTAGTAGGTGTTCCTAGAGCTCTATCTCTGATGCACACTGCCTTTATTTGCTATGGCAACAATTAACAGTCTGTGCTAACCTTTGCATTGTAAAGTATAAGTACTAAAGGAGCTCAAAGGAGAGGTGGTGGTGGTGAAGATGGAGAATAATGTGAAAGTTACCATGGATGAGGTAGATGATGTGTTTAAGACTCATGGGCAAAGTGAGAAACAGAAAATATCACCTTGCTTGGAATGTTCTCTTTCATCTCTGTCTCCTGCCCTCCCTGGCTTTCTTCAAGTCCCAGATAAAATCCCACTTTCTACAAGAAGCCTTTCTCCATCCTTAATGCTAATGCCTTCCCTGTTGATTACCTTCAATTCAACTTGTATAGATCTTGTTTGTACGTAATCATTTGCAGATTATCTCCCCAATAAAGTGTGAGTTCATTGAGAGTAGGGACTGTCTTTTGTCTTTCTTTGTGTTCCCAGTGCTTAGCATAGTTCTAGACATGGAGTAGGCACTTAATAAATGTTTGTTGACTGATATAGACAGGGCTCTAGCTAGCATGGATGAACAAAATCCAGAACTAAATCAGGGAACTTCTGCTTAGAAGTTTTATTTTCTGCCTGCTTTGTTTCCATTATGTAGTTGAAGCTCCCACTAGCTCTTTCTGCCTACTGTATCATTTTGTTGAATCATTGAGTTTTCAGTCCATTAAAATCTTCAGGTCTTTCCCACCTCAACTTCTTTCTAAACTCCTATTGTGCCTGTGCAGTAGAAGTCGTTTGAATGCAAGTGGAGGACTATGTATTTATCCCTGTTAAACTGCAGTTTATTTCTACAAATAAAACAAACAAAAAACTTTACCATTCCCCAAAGCCCTTTAGTGAACTTAGCCCTAAATCAGAATGATTGATGAACTCACCCTTGTCTGCAGGTGCTAAAATGCAGTGAGTGACCAAAGAGATAGAAGAAGAGGAGTAATTAACATAGCTGGCCAATCCAGAAACAGAGCATGTCCACAGCACCTGAAAGACTGAGAGTTTGTTGTATATTAAACAAGTCTCTGTTTAGTCACTGCTAAGAGCTCAGGTATGTATGAAATAAGTATATATGTTACAGAGTTTCCTAGGGTTTTAGCCTGGGCGGGGGGAGAGTTGGGGGGGGAAGAAAAGGAGATGAGATTGAAACTAAAAAGTAAATTACAATATTTACATACTTAAACATCATTATAATCTTGAGATAAATTCACGAAGTTACATGGTCAGCCCTGTTACTTCTCAGAAATAACTGTGAATATTTCATTTTATTTATATTCAGTCCCTGTTTCCTGTGCTCCTTGGGGTTAATTTAGTGTCTTACCAGAATTAAAAATATTGTTCTTCAGATATAGTTATTTTTGCCAGTTTCATCTAATGTAAGTGTGAAATTATTCAGAAAAGGAAAAGAAAATAGTATCTCATATTTACAGTTCACCTGGACACCTCGGCAGCAGGTTTGAAATTGACTTCTTTTGATTGGATGGACGTAAATTTGATTAATGTAAAAGTTGTAGAAGACATTTGGCTTTTTTTCTTTGTAAGCAGTCCCTAAGTCAAAAAAAATAGCTTTAGCTAATCCAGATGTTCTGTATTTGGTGATATGACCACTAGACACATCATGAATTTAGGGGTAGTTCCTTAGAAGAGATCACGTAATTGCAGAAATTGTCAAAATGTCTTTTTAAGTGCCACCTAGATAAATCAGAATGAGCCAGATGGTAGATGTGTGTTTGTTTATAGTTAGTTTAAATAGGTTTGCCCAAATACCTACAGTTTTGATCTCTGTTTACAATAAACCAATTTGGAGCCTAGGTTCCATGTTTCCTTGTTATGACATGTAGTATGATTGGTTTCAAAGGAATACATTATTGTGAGCACATTATGAAAAAGAATAGAGTAACATAATTATAACCAACTCTGGTAAGAGCTCTCACTGCATTTGACAAAGGATACAGCTTTTGTTGCTGAAGTGTTTCTGTAGTTACATCATAAAGGACACTCAACTTAACCTTACTTGGGAGGGGACGACCCTCAGTAGTTAAGTCCATAAAATAGTGAATGAATCAGTCAGCCTCCTTATGAAGAAATAAAAATAGAAAAGAACAATTGATATCATCTGTAGCAAGTTTTTAGGGAACTGAAAAATCAAGTCTGTTTTAAGGAACAGATAGCATTTAAAGTAATGAGACCTCACCTGTAAATTAATAACTTCAGCAAGTGGACCTTTGATGAAAGGGGGAAAGGACTTGTCATAATTCAAGGCTAGTTCAAAAAGAGGATTTATGAAGTTAATCCACAGTGACTAATGAATACCATAGTCATTTGCTTGGGAGCACCAGATTCTCATAGATATTTGTGGAAACATTGTAAAAATTGATTGGGTAGAACTCATTGTGACTTGATGTATTCTTAGCTAATGTTGGTCATTTCTTCAAGTTGCATGGTCCTCAGGTAAATTTCAATACTGGTGCTTTTTCTTTATTTCTTAAATGTTAATACATTTTGTTAACAGAAACTACTCTTTACAGAAACTTCAAGTTGACAAGTCTCTGTGGCAGTAACAGGTTTTTTTTAAATTCTCTTGATTCTTAAAAAAAAACCAGCCATTTCCCAATAATCTTTTCCCCAACAGAACATTTCTTTGAAACAATGAGCTACATAAGCAAAACAGAATCATTAACCATACCTAACAGTGTATATACCTCATTCCACATCTGTAGTCTTTACCTCTAAGGAAGGAGGTATATTTCAGTGCCAGTCCTATGGAGTTAAGACTGATAATTGCATTTATTTGAATTCAGTGAATTTCAATGTTGTTTTTCTTTTTTTAAAAAAATTCTTTTTCTTTTGTTTGGTTATTTTGTACTTGACAAACAGCAATTAAAATGAACAAAGTACAGTATTCAATGAACAGAAAAAGAGGATCGAATATGAAACCACGAGCCTATTACAGACAACTTGCCTTATTAAAAAAAAAAGCATATAATAAAATCATGCTAGGTTTAAAGCTGGCCTGCTTGTCCATATTTTTGACCAGATTTCCTTTTGTTTAGACATCATTCTAGCCATTTCAAGAAATGCCTCAAGAAACCTTTATTTTCTTTTTTTATATCATCACATGCCCCCTTCCCCAATCTCCTTCAAATTAAAAGAAAAAACCTCCCCATGTGACAGACATAGTCAAGCAAAACAAATCCACACATTGGCCATGTTTAGAAATACATATCCCATTTTGTATCTCAGTGTCATTGAGTTATTATCATTGTGCGTATTGTTCTCTTGGTTCTGTTTTGTATTCAATCAGTTCATAAAAATCTTTTAGAGTCTCTTTAATTCCTTATGTGTGTTACTTTTTATGCCTCAGTAAAATTCCATTACATTCATGTACTATGACTTGTTCAGCCATTTCCTGTTTGATGAATATGTTGGGGATTAAAACTGTCCAACCTTCAATAAAGGAGACTGAGTCAGAACTCTGAGCCAATGGCACTGTATCAAAGGGTCCACGGTTCCCTCTAATGAAGTGGACCTCAGATCTTCCTCATGGTCTAAGATGCCCCCTTCTTGTAGGACTTGTTAGACCTTGTTTTTATAGGGTTTGATACCCAAATGTGCAAAAGAGGCATGGTGAAATACAAAATCTCATTGGTTGACAGACTCTGCTCTTGAGGTTCCAAAAAAAAAAAAAAAACATGACAACAGCGGATAGTCATAAGTTGGGCAAGAAATAGGCATCTCCATTGACTAGGAGGTCATAAGATAATCACTTGCTCATGTTGGACAAGAGAGAATGGTCTGGAGGTACAAAAGTAAGTTGGGCAACTTTGAAAAGCATCAAGACATCCCACCCATGCTGAGTTTAGACATGGAATTTGAGCAAAACAGGTTGGAGATATCTTTGTCAGCATTCTTGTGGTTGTGCAAGTATGCCTCTTAAGTTACTAAACAAGTAGTGAGCATTATGTTAAATTTTGAGGCCTACTTTTTATCCCTATGTGATTTATGTAAAATATCAAATTGATTAATACTGATTTTAATAGAGTAGAGGTCCAAATGAATTATTTCTTACAAGTACCCACTTTGTTTAAAAAAGGATTTTTTTTGGTACTGAAAAAATCAAAACAAAATCATCTAGAATTGCATCTCAGTGAGTATGCATTTTAAATTAAGAGTATATTAACTTAATCCAGCTAGTTATATCCTCTTGGCAACATTGCCTTAAATACCTAACTCAATAGTTTTTATCGCCTCTCACCTATACAGTTTTAATAGCCTCCTAATTTGCTGCCTTGCCTCATGTCTTTCCCATTTCCACTCTGTACTTTTCACACAGCTGCTGAAGTGAATTTCCTTACCTTATCTGACCCTGTTACTTCCCTATTTCTCTGTGGCTCCCTATTGCTTCTAGAATAAAAGATAAACTTTTTTGGCTTTTAAAATTCTTAACAACGAGTCCCCAACTTGGCTTTCAATTTCATTATATAAGCCACTCCTCTTCCCAAAATATGCTGACCATCCAAACGGGACTCCTCTGTTCCTCATAATTCACCTCCCTTCTCCAGGCCTTTGCTAATATGACCTTCCCCTGTCCCTGGAGAGGAGTGAATTTCCTCATCTTTTTTACAGAATTCTTCACTTCCTTCAAGATGAAGTGAATTTTTCCTTTTCTTACCTCCCTAATGTTGTTGCCCTCAATAGAATGTCAGTTACTTGAAGCAATGATTGTTTCATTCTTTTCTATGTATCTCCAGACATATCACAATACCTTAATAGTATATGTTTGCTGATTGATAAAAATTTTGTATCATGTGTAACACAGTACAAAATTATTGTTATTGTATCATGTGTAATACACATTGTTTAATTAGCCTTAAATACTGAAAAAACAAAAACAAAAGCATATATCCGTTAAACTTTTCTTAACAACAGCCTCTTTTCCAGGACACCAGAACACAGAAGAGAGGAGGAAGGAAGAAGAGGAAGGCTAAAAGCAACACACTTGAGTGATTAGAAGTTACTCATTAGTAGCAGGATAAATCATTGGACTTCTTAGGGAGAAAAAAAGTCACACCAGTTCTCCCCTTCACTCAAGCCCAGTGTGTCACTTGTAAATTATCTACAAGGCTGAATTAAGCACCCTATCTTCATCAGTCCTATTCATTCTAAGCCTGTTAGTCACACTTCTTTGTCAGAGATCAGTTAACACCCATATAGGTAACCTTTTAAGTAACCAGCCCACTAAACTTTCACCAGCTTCCTGTATTTTTTTTTTTGTTACACTTACTCACCTGTGCCTAGTAAGAAATGCAAGATCCCTGAACTCAGCATGCTTTTTTTCATTTGCATTAGGTGTCTTTCTTGGCCATAATCTGACCTCTCTTTAACTGATCTAATTTATTTTCCCCTTTATATTTGTACAGTATTTCTAACTTTGTGAAGCTCTTACAAATCTGTTATCTCATTCTGTACTCATTATGACTTTGTGAGATAGTATGGGTACCTGGTATTATTATTCTCATTTTGGTAGACAATTAAATTGAGTCCTACAGGTTAAGTGATTTCTCAAGGGTCACATGGTTGATGACAAAGCCAGCAGTAGAATTCTAATCTTCTGATTCCTTATCTAGTGCTCATTGGCACTATAATTGGCATTTTTCATACCTTGGAAAAGCCTCACACAGCATTCCTGGGGCAAACAGAATGAAAAATGCCCTCAAACTTTTAAAGACAAATTCAGTTGGAGGGAGATAGAAATTCTCTCCCAGTGAGTGTGGCATCTGTTAGTAGGGAGTAGGAAGCTAATGCCTTCTGGTACCCTAGCTTCCTATTTTAACTAATTATTCTCAATAACTAGGTTCTAGTTGATGCTACAATATGGCATGAGTGTAGATGTTGGCAACTTCTAAATTCCAGCACTTTAGAACTGAGACTCTATTTGCCCCTGTTGATCTGTCCTGGTTACATCTTTGCCATTAACTTTTTTATAATACCATGACACCTTCCTATATGTGCTGTTAATTTGAGGATTCATTATACAAGGTTCAAAATCCT